TATTTTCAAGGATCCGTACTAACTACGAATACATACGGCCCGTTGGCGATCTACGGTGAGTGATGACATGTCGTACTTAAAAGCATCAGACAATCGTCCTAAATTTTTTTCAGCACAGCTTGAAAACGAATTTCACGTGCTGTTTTATTCTTTATTGTCGTTTCCAGTGGCGTGGCGTACTTTGCGATCTATCGATATTCCCCCATTTGAAGCTGTGGTTAATAATCGATTATTAAGGTGTTCGCTGTGAACACCCTGTTTATCGATACTTTTCCATAGGTTTAAATGGCCGATCAATCGATTTATCGCAAGCACGCCACGCCACTGGTCGTTTCCCGTACAAAGGAACGTAACTCCATCCCAAGGTTGCAAAACTGACAGGAACAATTCGCTTTTTTACACGTATAAATCCGTGCGATTTTCGTCCAAAATTTTTCTGATTTTGGCATGAGATGATCAGTAAAATCAGCGAAATTTTCAGTTGGAAATATCCGAGATTCTCCTTATAAAAATGCAATTTACAAGGGGACATAAGGCAACGTTGAAATGCACTTACGTTAATTCGCCTGGGAAACGGCGAATTGTATATTTGCCTTGAGTGCGTTACAATCACGATGACCCTATCTTACACTTAGTGGCGAGGCGTAAAGATCGATTATCGATACCTCCCCATTTGAAGCTATGGTAAAGAATCGATTTTTAGGGTGTTCGGTGCGGACACCCTGTTTATCGATTCGTTTTCACAGGTTTAAATGGCAGATAAATCGATCTATCGCAGCACGCCACTGCTCACTATCTTGGGAACCGTGATTTACAGTCGTAATCAGCTATAGCGGTTTGGAAGTCCTACAGCAATACATTTCGATATGTCGCGAGGAAAATTGGGTTACGCAAATATTAAGAGTGACGATCAATTAGGATTTTGAGAGATACCATGACGATATCATGACTAGCTAGAAAGGAGCGCTAAAAATTTCACATGCTTGATGGTACGTTCGCCGATTGATAAGTGCAAAGAGAGGACTACCTGACAAGATAAGAACTAAGCTCCACGAGCTACGTTTCCTCATAAAAATTACAGGGTGTCTAGTTTTTTTCATTTTGGGAGATCCTGGTGAAATCTAGATTTTTGACTGCTGAATCCGGATTCCAAAATTTTTCAAAATCCTGATTTTTTGCGGAAAAAAATTACGCGAATGTAACTTTAAAAAAAATAGCTCGATAAGAAATCCGATCGGACGGCCGGCTTTTTTCAAATCCTGATTTTACGACCGATTTTTCCTCACATCCTGATGAAATCGGGATTAAATCCTAATTGACCTCAAATCCTGATAGAATCGGGAAACTCCTGATGCTAGACACCCTGTTATACGCATAGCGCGTTGGAAATTTTTAAGAAGCCCCAAACCAGCTGATAAAGTTCGACCCTAGGCTCGGATGATTTCCCGCGACAAAAAAAGGCGGCGCGCACACTAGCACATGACGATTACGGGAAACCGGTGTGCACTGGAATTCACGCAACCCCCAACGGATATCGATAGAAACTTTAAACTTTCGGCGTTCCACCACACACTGTCTCTCCGATCCTCCTGCGCTTGCAAAAATGTCAAACCAAAATTTATTGGAGCTTACAGGGTTGCCATAATTTCTGTATCTTCAAATTTCTTGACTTTCCCTGATTTTTTCCCTCTCGAAATACGCTTTTTTTGCTAAGCTTTGAATATTTCCTTGTTTAAAGATCAAATCATAGATAAAGGCATTCGACAGTAGGTTAACAGATGTCGAGCCTTAAAATGACCAGAAGGATTAACAGTTGACATCAACAGATAAACATCAATGATGTTTTAGTGATTACTATATTTACAGGGTTGCAACAGAATTTAGAAAATGAAATTCCCTGACAGTTCCCTGATTTCCCTGACACACTTTCCCGAAATTCCCTGACAATTGAAGATGTGACGGATGGAAAAGAATTTTGCAATTGAAAATAGTTTTCAGGCAAAATTTGTTGTTCAAAACCTCAAGCCCATTCTAGAAAGCAAATGAAGGAGATTTAAAAAATGTTTTCTAACATTTTCGTCATTTTCCCTGACATTTCTCAGTATTCCCTGACTTTTTAAAATTCCCTGACATTTCCCGGTTTTCCCTGACTGTGGCAACCCTGTATTTATCAGTTATTCTCTGACTTTTCCTGGGCTTCAAACATTTTTCTGAATTTCCCTGATTTTGCCGGTTTGCGAATACTTGTTACATTGCAGTATCACTCTCATAGTTGCAGAGCTACCGTGCTCTCGCGTTTTATTGATCGAAACAAGGCACCTTCAAATCTTGAGGTTGGCAATACGTATGGCTAAGTTCAAGAAACTGGGGTTTGACCTCAGAGATTATCGGCGGATGATATGCGGAAAGTAAAGAGACATGCTACACATTCAGTAGTTAAAATGCACGAGAAAAAATAGGTGTCATTAAAATGAAGTCATTCTAGTGATAATGTGCATGCTGCACTTCAAAATTTGAACATATTTTTATCTATCTCCTCTCAGGTACAATTATAGAGTAAGGAGGGTGATGAAGAATTTAAGTTGCAATAGGAACAAGTAACTAGTAAAAATTACGTATAGATTTATACTTGATGACATTTTATTGGGGTTAAGTCATTAAGAAGGAAGTATGCGGGAGAATTGGACGCACTTATGCCCAAAAAATCCACCTACATAAAAAGAGTTGAGAAAGCACCTTCCTGTACCAGAATAGTTCGGGATTAAGGATTGGGATTTGGGCACTAGTTCAGGGCTAATTTTCTACTTAAGGGTTACCATAAACAGTACACTGAGAGGTGAAATAACAAGTCTCAACCTGGAGCAGATAGAGTTTTCCCAAAGCTCTCAAATATATAGACTTGTTTCGTAAGATGCTGCTTCAAGTGGGAGTTACGATACACGTGAGAAGTCCAGCTACAAAAGAGTTAAAAATCCCTAACTAAACCTCTGGCTTTCAATGAAGCCTTGGGTGGTTTTTGCAAGGTCCTGTTGCGCTTGCATACGTCGTAGCTCTAATTTTATATGTATTCCTATCTAGCATGTGCGTACAGTTAGCCTGATCTACTCTACATGTCTTTTTTCAAAGCTCCTGATGTAGATGGATTTGTTTCGTTCAAATATTTACAATTGGCAACTCTAAACCCTTTCATGAGCTTACAAGCTAGTTGAGTCACACTCTTCTTCCGACAGTACAAACTGAGTTGAAGATACCGTCTATTTTTGGAGGAATTTCAAAGAAATCATTCTGTCATTTTAATTCCCAACATACTGATTTCCTGAAGGTGGTACCTCCAAACTTCTAAGCACTCAACTGATGGTTAAGACTTCCTACTTACAACTTTCTAATAGTATGTGTACTGGAATACTAGTTTTATAGCTCATTGAATCACTAGTGACAAGAAAAAAATTGTTTTTCATATTCCTAAAAAAATCTCAAATAATGCCTTAAATACCTCTATGAGTGCTTGTAAGGGTACAGTAAAGAGGACAATAATGAGTTTTCTTGAATTTGCTTTTTTGTACATGGCGTAGTTTTCTCAAAACTCGAAAAAAAAATTACACCATGTCTCATGATGACTTGGTTTATTATGGAACTGCTTAACAACAAATTAAAAATTTGCAAAATTTTTCATATTCAAAGAGTGAGTATGAGCCTCAAAGATGCACAAGTGCAAATCTTCTCAAAAGCACTGCCATACTATATGAGATAAAGATGCATTTCATGTGGCAGGTGCTCATTTTTTGTGTGAAAATTTGCATTTTACACTTTGAAAAATGCTAATCACTAAGCACTGCTCTACTACCTACGTATTAAGCTTGTTTAATTATTCAATTTACACAGACGTTATTTGCAAAATCAATCCGTCAACTGAGGGCCTGAGTCAGTGACTCGAGGGCATATCCATCCACCCTCCTTGGGAACCCAAAAAGAATACAAAAATGCATAGCACATGAGAGCAAGTAACGAAAAGCCAGTAAATCTAAAATTCTTTCTTCTCTTCCAGGGCAACTGGAAACAATGGTGCACTTTGGAGAACAATAGCAGTGCCTCTTATCAGGTCGGAAACATTGTTTTGTAACCATGTTGCCATGATTATGAAATTTTTACCTTCAATTCAGATTGATAAATAATAGCCTTGATATAGACTTGAAAGTTCATGCTGTATAATATGCTCATTGCAGGAAATTATCGTAAAGTATGTACATAAAGAGTGGAATTTAACAGCCGTTTTACAAAAAACATGTGAATTTCACTGCAATTTCTGAAGATTCACACGATTTCAAGCCTGTAGCAAGCTGGCCTTCTCAATTTTTACAGCTTTCCTAGTTTACGCACAAGCAGCCACGCAATCATGATCGCGTCATCACGAAGTTTCAGTACCACCGATAAAAACTCCAGTAGAGTAACACATGATACATACAACGAGTTCAAAATTACTACCTATCAACATCAGCATCAAAAAATGAAAACTTTAAACTTTCAATGACTGGAACATATTATATCACCTCCACCATAATAAAAAATAAATTAATAATAATTAATTTCAAAATACTTATACCCGTTAGATCTTTTACTTGACTTGAGATTCCTGATCCCTTTTAAACAATGATATATTGATAATGGAAGTAGAAACTACACACGTTAATTGCCATATTTTGAAAGTTCTGAGACCTAACTTTAATTTATCAAAAGAGGACTTTCTTACGAAATGTTTAAATACTTGATAAAAAGCTATGTATAACTTTTCTAATTTAAAACAGTTGGTAATCCGCTTCAAAAATAAAATTGTGAAGGATGTTTGCTATCGTGCGAACCAAGGAACATATTTTTTTTTGTTTCCCCATCAAGGCCTAGTGAAAAAAAAGTTGTTCAAACTAAGCACACTTCCTTAGAGGCAAAAAACCGGGAGCATTCTTCACCACTTAGAAGAGTCAATTTAATGATCAAAAGGTACTTACACAAAGTCAGTGGTTCTAATAATAGCAGAGCTGTTGCCATTGGTCAATGGTGTTGAGAGAGAGATTAAGGGAGAAGGAGAGTCGCTGTTCAACGGTACCTGGAATAACGGAAAAAACCCACAAAATATGAGTTGAGATACAGCACTAACAAGATTTATGATTCTTAATTTTATTTGGAAATGGATTGTATTCAATGCATCAAACAGGCATTTTGTTGCTGAGATTGAATCCATATCGACTGGTTCAACATGTAAATATAGCCCCAGATGTCAATTGAAGAATCTGTGGGAACAGGCTTTTGTGATGGATTTTTGCTTCTGAAGAATATCACATGGCAATGACAAGTAAAATTGTAAGGAATTTCCTCTTTAAACTTAATCCTTTTCAACTTAAATCCTAATATTTTTATTTAAAGTTATGTCCTATTGCTCTGAACCAAACAATACATCAAATCACTATCAAATACATTCCATTGAAAATTCTTAGAGAGCTCTGAAGATAACACTTGTATATGATAAGTCTGTTTTGAAGCTTAAAAATTATAAAATTTTAGAAAAAAATGAATGCAAGCACACTTTTTCAACCTCTTTCCAAAAATAATTTGAATTCAATAAATAGAATCAATGAAAACGCAAAGGTTTTCCTCAAACGCACATTTTTGGTTCTCTTGAAAAACTGCACAAAAATATTGAAAGCTTCCATGATATCAAGATGCTATTTTAATCGGACAGAAAAACAAACTGTTCAATGTAACTTTTACTGTACTTATAAATCAAAAGCCCCACTAAGAAAAGCTGAGAAAAGTTAGAACTTACTTCAGAGAGGATAGTGCACTCGAATGATGGCTGGTACTTTTCCTGCTCACCAACGGGTCTTTTGAGGATTTTCTCCCGGTCTTGTTTATGCTTTCGATCAGCTCCTTTCAGCTGTTCAGAAAACAAACAAAAAACAAAAAATCAGTACTACACTTCAGATTGCAAAACACTGTCAAATATTGGGCTAGCAAGTTTTTCTTTTATGTTCATCAAAACTGGTTATTATTCTATTTAGTATTATTTCAATCATTCTAGATTTTCAGGTAAAAAAATCTCACTCAATGTACTCAATTTTTCCTAAGATTACTCTAGCAGTTCCTAAACCATTCTGCTCAGACCCATACAGAGAATGTATTTTAAGCTATTCTTTTGTGACTGATACTGCATTTGTAGGGTAGTGCAAACTTTTCTGTGTATCAAAAACTTAAAAATGTAATTCACAGGTGAAAAATTTGGATTTGTGTTTGGTTTGGATTTTGATCAATGAATGGAAACTTCCTGCTCCCAGAAACACCAAAATCGCTGCAGGTCAAATTGGCCATTGAAAACAATCTTATGTTGGAGAATTTACAGTTTTGTTGAAAATTTTTTATCTTTTGTATTATAGAACATACTACAGTTCTTAATCTAACTTGAGTACACTTAAGGTTCTTTGGAGTGCGAACTTTGCAGTGATGCACCTACATGAAAAATGCTATTTTTAATGTACGAGTTGAATTCAGAAATATTCAATTTTCCACTATTATCTAGATGAAATTTCAGTGTAGGAGCATATGGACAGAGTTTACGTCAAACGCACCGAGTCACATCACGTTTGAACTTAGAAAAAAAAATGTAAATTATATCCTCCATAAGACTCAATATTATGGACAAGGTTTAATGATTCTTTGCATGCTCAAGATATATTCCTTCACTTAGAATTTTTAACGGGAGGAGAATGTAAGACTAATTGAATTACTCATTGAATTACTAACCTTACTCATTTTTTGTCCAAAGGGCGTTCTGTTAAACTCAGTCCATATGTTCGGGTGCTTGATTTCAAAAAACCGTCTAAAGGTTCATTAAAGTGTGTAGCTATCTAAATAGTGACTCTATCTGACGATAAATCTTTTGTACTGGTGCACTATGTCACCAGATGCTCATTATTGATTAAGATTATCACGTTTGATATTGCACTGCTTTATTTATCGATGGCTAAAGTGCAACACCACATGCGTCCATTGCGCTGATTCAAAATATCTACTCCTATTTAATTTCTTTTTTAAACAAAGCAAGTCAACTATATGGCTGGAAATTTCTATGAAATATTCTGCTAATAGAGAAGAAAAATTACGTCAGTTTTCAAGAAATTAAGTTTACTCGTTTTCCAATTAAAAATAAAATACAAAAGGAAGTCTGCGACGTTGCAAAGAGAGATACAGGGGTTCGCACTTCGGCTAACGATATGCTCCCTCTCACTTGTCACTGACTGAGTTCTTCAGCATCATTCATCATGTAGTTATCAGTTCAATAAATAATTACATTGCACATTCCAAGTTGTTATTCATTTTGCGAGGGATGCCAACCATACTCACACCACTTTTCCTGCATTTGCTTTTAGTTCCAAACTTAATTCCTAAAAATGTATTGATACTGGAGATGAGTAAAATAGACTTTAGGGGCGTTTCCTCAAATACTGATTAATTCCACAATATGTTTGACTAATATTTAACTTAAATGTCCATGATATTAGAACAAATTCACAAAAAGTCATTAGAAAAAAGGGTCTTACCTTAAATACTTTAATTTGACAAGAAGCAGCATGGAGACAATGAGGGACCTTCCCCTGTAAATAAGTTTCAACTTGGATGCGAAAAGGAACACCTTTTTCCCCGCCATGTTTCTTCGGTGTGAACTCGGTGCTGATACAGTTGACCTGTGATGAGTAAGAAAAGGTATCAGAAAATAGCCCTGTTGGTCAATTACTTTTTTTTACAAACAACGAATGGACAAAACCAGTGCACCAAAGAGCATATTTCTTAGAGGGAAATTGTGTTCATTTAAGCTTTTGCTGTCTGTATTGAGATTTTCAGCTTCATGCTGAATTTTTAACGCACGTTGACAAAAAACTCCAACATACTATTTTGTTTTCTAATTATGACCAATTCTCTGACCAAGAATTAAAAATGATTCCCTTTGATTCATTCAAATTTCCATGTGTTGAAATAAGCATTGTCTCAGTGGCCAGTCTAAAAGACACTGCACAGAAAACCGAAGAATCTGCTTCACGTCAAATTTTGTTACTTTTTGATATGATGTTCTTTGCTACCTTGTGAGCACATCGAGATTTCAAAATTGAGCTTTCTATTTGCTCATGTACAGAAAAGCAAAGCTGAAAGTTGACTTTGTCATCATTCTTACGTGCGATTTCTTGGGAAGATGTGAGACTGTCACTACATATATATATGTGGACACTGTGCTAAGCGCTTATTTGGAGGAACTTAATTTCTTTCCATTTGTCTTATATTCTCAGCTACCGAAAGACAAAGGCTCTCCATAATCACTATTTTGATATTGCAATCTTTTCACTGTGTGAATAAAAATGCTGAAAAAAATCACATTTCAGCACTGCTTTTCTCAAAAATGGCACATAGAAAGTTTGATTTTTAGAGCTTAATAAGCTTCGGCTGTTGTAAAGAGCATCATATCAAATAACAATATAAATAAGCGCATGCCAAACTCCACGGTTTTGCTCGCAGGGTCCTTTCACTTGATTTAAGAGAGATTTTTCGAGTTCACGGATTTTTTAAACCGGATTGTTGCTGTAAATTTCAATCATCTGACTTTTCATCCAGATACAGTGGAGGTTAGAGAGAAATTCGTTTTGAAACATCCTGCAAAATATTCACAAGAGTTTATTGCGGATTAACTTCTTAGGATTTAAAATGAGCTGCACCGCATCATTGCTCAATTGAAAGCATTAATGCAAAAAAAGTTCATCTACACTGAAAGAATTAAAAGAGCACCTGTCTGATTAAAGGATATATTAAAATTTAGGATTAGAGTTTGGATACCAGCTCTGGGCTAATGGACTCATAGACAAGATGCGAATTTAAGCATTATGATTTATGTTTCCTGATCAACATTCCGAATAGAACGCGGGTTGTACAACGAAAATTACTAGAAGTAACTCCTTACCAAGCCATTGATGTTTATCAATGCATAAATTCAAACTTGCCGCTCATAGCACAAATAAAAATCTATTTGAGTTAAGCTGCATACTAAACATTACCAGAACAGTCTCTACAGTATGAAAATATGACAACCTCAAACTCAGCACTTTGGCTCAGCTATGTGCTTGTTGTTTACACTCCGAACAACACAAGATGGAGAGGGAACACTGCTTCTTGAGAAGCCTGCGAAAACCATTGTAGTGGGCAATTTGATTCAAGGAGTCATGTTTTTCACTTGAGTGGGAAATACAAATAAGTTGTATCCAATGTTAGACAATAACGTTAATATCTAGGTTGAGAGTTGATCTCAGTAATTTTCAATCGGCAAATTGTGTTCTACATGAAATTTTGGAGAGCAAACTAATATTAGAATGGTTAAATTCATACATTGTTTAATGGTCCATTGCCTGCCCAAGGGCTACCACAAACACAGAATGAAGCAGAGAAAAATCATAGTTCAGCCTGGAGCAGATAGAGGGTTTCCCGCCGAGGTCTTAAGTGGATGGACTTATTTTACATAATTCTACTCCAAGAGGAAATTACACTGCTTGAAAGAAGTCTGTCTGCTGAAGTTAAAAATCTCAAGCTGCTCCGGCTGAGAGCTGATTGCTTGCACAAAAATATTTTTTCCGTGAATCAATATTGGATTATTACAAGGTTGCTCCTGATCTCAATGTTGTGTTTCAACAATGGTGACAAGATTTCAGCAAACCGTTGAGCAAAAATACACAAATTCAAATACATGAAAAAATTACCTTTATGTAGACACCAACTTCATTTGTTGGGTCCCACAAGAACTCAATTGTATTAATCATTTTGTCATCTTGTTCGAGATCACAAATACCGTACGATAGCGGTAGATCAACTTCGAGAAGTCTATCGCTTGGATGGGTTGCGCGCCAATTCGCCATTTGTTCCCGCTCTGTGTACTGTAAACGTCGATCATGAAACATCACACGCACGACAGACTGTTCATGAAAGAAAAAGATAAAAATTAATTTGACTGCAATAAAAAATAAAGACAATGCCTGAGACAGATATGTGTAAAAAACATTGTAAAAATCCTGAATAATCTACAAAACTAAATGTTTACTGGCCACAAATTGGACAACTGACAGATTGTGTGCAAAAATGGAAAGAGGTTTTGAAACAAGAAAAACTGGTTTGGATCGATAAGAAAATTATATGCTGTCAAAAAAAATCACCGAAAAATCAAGGCAAAAAGCACAAAAAAAGATTTATTTCTTGTACATAATCATTTAATATTTGTGATCATCCCTTCAGATTTTCAAGAAAGAAAAGCTGATTCAAAAAAGTTGAAAGGCTGACTATTTTCTATCCTGTCAAAATACGGTTTATCAGAAATTCAAGTTTCAGTTTTTACGTTCAGTAGTTGAATACTGCTGACTCAGATCAGCATGAAAGTCTAGAGGAACAACTTGTATTCAACTATTAATTAGAATTAGAAGGCCTGCTGTCCTGGCTGCTGATGAAGTTTTTAAAATTAAAGAAATGCATACCTTGAGAATTTTTCCACGAAAACCAGTTAAGTCACCCAGCTTCTTCAATTTTATTTCGTACGATTGTCCTTGATTCAAATAGGTTAGGGTTTCTTCACCCTGTTTGGTTGCGATTGATGTTGCTGCAGCCAATACATATTGAAATCTATGATAAAAAGAAGAAAAGCAAGTTAAGTATTATGAAGTAGAATAAACAGTAGGTTACAGCACTGTGCAAGAATGTACACTGTACAAGGTTAAAATAGAGAGAAAATTGTAACTCATTTGCACAAATTTTGTGCGAGTGAGTTAGATACTATTTTCTCTCTGTTTTAAATAAAGTATTTGCCTGACAAGGCAATACGTTGAAAAAAGCAGCGTTAATCACCAATGACAAAAAAATAACTCTCTATCAAACGCAGAGGCAAAACAGTGAGAGACAATCGAGATTTTCCCTGTAAATGGATATCATTTTCTTTATTATTTTGAATAAAGTTATTTACAGGAATTTACATTGTTTTAAAATATTATGGTATACAATAAAAACCCATTTTTTGAACTACTGCAAAATAAAATATTTCAATGCTAACTGGTAAGGACCACTGACCACTGAGTCAATGGAAGAAATTGATTTTTCGGATACACTTCAATTGTACAAATATAGATACGAAAGGTGCTTAGGGATCAAATTAGCGCTGTAGGAAGTTAAGGGACTAAGAGACAAACCTGCAGTCATCTGGCAAGGGAGATGCTGTTGAAGTCGGGATAACTGATGAGACCATATTTTCGCTATCTGATTCGCCACAGGTTTCTCCATCTTTACTTACAAAAGCTGGATAATTTTGCTTACGGTCTGAGGGGAGAATGCAACAAAAAAGAAAATAGTCGTTATATTAACTGTCAAAATTTTTAACTTGTGTAATAAATAGTTGTGGAAATTAAATTCCAGAACAGATTTAGCATAAAAGTGATTCTGTCCTCACTCGCAGGCACTTGACATTCCAAAACATGAGATTTCCTGCTGATAAAAGCAGTCTCACTAAAGTGTTGTGGAATGAGATCATTGTTGAACCTCTTTAAGTTCTGATTTTCTGTCAAAAAGATTCCACTGCGACTTGCTGTATACATAGAACCAAAATTTTTGGGTTAGAGGTATTTAAAACCTTCTCTCACATACTGCCTACTGATGATGGTCGATTCTTTTTTTCCCCAGCCTGGTAACTATTGTTACATTTTCAAACCCACAAATTAATATGTTTTCTACTGTTCTTTGACCGTAATTTTAATTTTATGAGAGAAACTTGAAAATCTCTACTTTTTAAGAACCATGAATTTTGAGTATCTACCTGCTATAATAGGTATCCTTTAATAGAAATTTGAGTATACAATGATTTTTCTGATGATTCAGAAAACAATTCTTTGAAATTGTTATTCCTTGGATTGATTTATGGACACTGACATGACTGTATAATTCAGAAAAAAAGCTAAGCATGTACAGAAATATTTTAAAAAAAGGTTTATTTCTTATATGAAATTTTACAATGAGACCAACCATTTGCATCGATATTTATGTATTCCTTGATCTTGGATGCTGCTATTCCCTTTAAAACTATCCAAATTTTTTTAAGTTATCTGAATCTACTGGCCAAAATGAATCTAAAAAAAATCGAGAAACCACTATGCTATTAAGCATAGGCTTACCGTTAAATGAATTCGTATTTTCGTAACTATGTTCCTTAACGCCTTGTAAGTTGTTGGAGTCTGGTTTTTCAGGACAATTATCTGTAGGCGATTGCTGACTCACACTATTAAAACAAAACAAATATTGATGAAAATTGACAATGAAAGATAATAAATAACAAATGCAAGAAAATTATAACAAATGCAAGAGCAGATCTAACTTCAATGCTGATATTATTTTCTGCACTCCTGGTTTACTCGAACTTCACGAGAGGTGGTGCTGATTCAAGGATCACTATGTCACAAACCAACAGGAAAAAAGACCTAGGTGACAAAAACCTAGTACTAGGTAAATTATAGCGTTGGCTAGTGCGTCAAAGAGAAAGGGAGCAGTTCGAGTAAAATTTCTTCATGATTTTTGAAAGCTTAAACTGATTAAAAACTTAGATTCATCATTTCGCATGAAAACAGGTCTAACTATAAAATTGGAACAAAGTTGAATGGCCATAACTCTATGCGTTCCATGAAAAAAATGAGTGATGCACTCATTAAATGAGTATAGAGTAAGGGCAGGGGAAACAGAGGATGACTGTGATGAAATGCAAATATCGGAAACTTCGGTGAAAAAGGAGAGTCACTTTTAGTCTTCAAACGTAAAAAAGAGAAAAGTTGGTTCCAAGTAACATGCAAGTACCATTAATTAAACTACAGGAATGACAAAAAAAATAGAAGAGAAGATCGTAAGATAAAAGATAAGAGGATGAGCCCCTCAAAGTGCTGTGCAGTGAAATGGGAGGAGGTGCGGTGGCACTATAAGGGGACTTTTTAGTAAGGCTGTTCAATTTTTCTTTTCATAAAATGTGTATCAAATCAAGTTTTTTTTGCTTACTTTTTGACATGCACATGAATCTGGGGAAATTAAACAAAGAGGTTCATGCAATGAAAGCAGCATATTGACCGTAAAACTCCTGAACCGATTATCACTTTTCGGTATTTTAAAATCCCCGCTTTTATGTTACTTATTGTAAAGAGAACAAATTAACCTCATTCCTTAAAGTTTTCTCAGGATTGGCACGGAGAAGAAAAATCACGGAAGTTTTCAAAAATTGGCACTGAATAGTGCTTTATTTAAAAAACAAAGTAGGATAGGAGGACGTCTGCGATGTCGCAAACTGAGATACGTGGTTCGGGAGTTTCACCGTTGATATACAAATTCCGTCGATACATTAGAATTATACCAGAACCAATAAAATAAACATCAGAGAACTTTGAGAGAACAAAGAAAGCAAGTTAGGGGACGCTTCCCAAAATAATTTTGTGATCATTCTTACACCACCTTCAAAAAAAGTACCGCAGAGGCAAAAAATTACTACAAAGGAGTGGAAATGAGTTAAAAGTATACCTCTCTCACGAAAAAAAGAAGAAAAAAAGGATAAGATTGCAAAAAAACTAAAATGATTAAATAAAAATAAAAATAATGATAACCAAGCAAAGACAGAGATTGATAGTTATTATTTTAGGATAGCTAGAGCAATTAAAGAAGTTTTTGCTTTTCCTAAAAAAATTGGATTTCAGGTCCCCTTATATGTTTAAATTTCTGTTTTAAAGTTCTATTATGGCTTAGAATGTAATGAAACTTACAAATTGTCTGATGTATTGGTATTTGGAGACGGAATTTCTTGTTTAAACACAGTTAAGGATGGAAGAGACAAAAACGCGTCACTGGAAATAAAAATTTCATAAATCTCTTAAAAACTGATAATCACTTCACATAATATGATTTCAAGAATCAGACTTTTCCACAGTGAAAAGTGAATTTTCCAAATCTTAATTCATTTAAGTAGATTTTAGTGGAGGAAGTTAATTAATGGTTTGGGGAAATACATCCGAGTCTTCCTCAGAATGGTGTCATCCTCCTGACGTGTGGCACTTTACTGACCGGAGGATTCATTTGTTGTTTGTTTCTGCCTTAGAATTAATACATTTTTTAGAAAATTCTGTTAGCAATCACAAACACAGTAAAACCCTAACCATCCGACCAGGAACCATCTATTATGGTCCAAATTGAGTTTTTCTGCAAAAACAAGCTACCCAACACAACGAAAACTGGTGTTATGGGCGAGAACTGAATACATACGTCGTTTTTGGTGTTTTTCCCCCTCAATTTAAGTAATTAAAATGTTTTACAAATATGATGGCAGATTGGCCAAGCTTATGTTCTTTGGTTACAAACAGAGCCTAAAATAGCATTTTACAGTCTTTTATTGACGGTTTCGATTATCCGAATTCCGACTATTTTGATACCCAACACGGCCCTCGCCGCAAACAGTCGGATAGTTGGGGCTTTACAGTAAACCAAAAGAATAAAGAAGTTTTAGAGAGGAAAGGTATGGGGAGGGAAGGCATGGATAAATATTTAAAATATATGAACATGTTCTGGTAAAGAGAAGCAAAAAAGGCGGCTTAGAGTACAAAGACAGCTGAATAAACCAAAACCAAAAAATCAGTCAACCAAAGCAAATGATACGATTCAGACTTGCTGAGGAGCGATATTAAGAAATCTGCCTCTTAAATACAAGCAGAACCTAGAAGTTTAAAGGGAAACTATGATTTCCTTGGGGATAATGCTGATTTTGAAGAAAATCTTAAGAGTGGAGCTACCTAAAACCCACTTGTTGCCAATCCATTGATAAATCAATCAATACATGGTTGAGTGAGTTTTGAGACTTCTTGACTATGGCCAAGAGATGCCTCCATTGCCTCCTAAAACAGCTCAAATTTGACTTTCTGATGGCAATTTTTAAAAACCCTCACACCCACCACAACATTTGATTTCTCTGCATGCATTTTCCATATTAAGCAAATACTAGGGGCTTATGGGGCTGCTTCGCAGCCCCTTATTTTTCCTGTACACTTTTCACTTTGAACTTTAAAGCAATAAGGTCCATCACCCGGAATATCAATTCGATTTGCAGAGAAAGAGGCAAAAGCAACAGCACTATTATAATTTCTGATATGCTTTATGAAATTTGGAGAATATAAAAATAATGATTTCAAATCGGTATTTGTCCGAATACTCGGTAAAGAAATTAAGCCATTTTGGCAGCAGTTATTAAAATGACCATTGGACATTTCACCCTGAAAATGGCGAGCATCACAATGATGACAAATTATATTCATTGAACCGACTGAAAATTTGGTAACAAAATTTTCATCAAAGTTCTGATCATCAATTTTATACTTCCGAAATGAAGAAATGAAACTTTGATTTTCTATACTAATAACAGAGTTAAGTTCTTGCTTCACTAAACGAACATGCGAAGAATTCTGGAAAACGCGACCACGTTTTGGAGGACGACCGCCTCGGTCATTGAAAATTTCACTCATAACAACTGTTAAATTTAAAATTAAAATTAGTAAAAATTATTATTATTTTAACAAAATCATAACTGAAAAGTTCAATTTTTAAATTAAAAAAAATAAATCAGAAGAAAAAGGATGAAATGAAAATGGAAATTAATAATAAACATATTTATACACATTGAAAAGAAACAGCGTGAAAAGTTCTGATCGGAAATGAGAAAAAAAACTTGGAGGTTATTGACTTAATGAGGAAAAATTTGGGAAAAATTGGCAATAGGAAAAAGATGGAACCAATCATGAAAACCCGTAAAAAAAAAAAAAAAAAAAACGCGGGAAAAGAAAAATGTAAGTTGATGGCAGTTGAGTGTTGGAAGTAACCTCACTTAATGATGATTGTTGAATGAAAACAGCTGATAAAAAGACAGCAAACAGTAAAGTAAGATGCGTAGCAACAAAACTTTTCCGAAAAACAAAAAACAAAAAACCCCCACTTCCCCTCATCCAATTTATGAGTTTTAAGGGATTTAAAAATCGGGGACGAACCCCAGAAAATAATTTATAGTTTTCCCGAAGCATTGAGAACAACACCTTTCAAATGAACCAACGCCCCTCGCAATTAGTACAGTGGTTGATTCACAATTTCATTCTATTTTTCAAATTAAATATTAAGATTGGACACCCTAGTTTGGCAATCTTCTTTACAGCTTCTTAGCTAAATGACTTATCTGAGACGATCCTAATGATGATGGTGTTAACAGGGTGGACTAGATATCCTACTACCTACTTAAATGGTAAGATTAAAGCTACCTCCTTTTCATTTGTATCGAACAAGAATACTTATCAAAATATCAATAAAACTAAAGTGGGATAAACTCTTTTTACCATCGAATTTTCAGCAAATACTGCATCAAAACGATGAAGTTAATCGAGATTTTAACCATGCATTTAAACTGACACCAATAAATTGTTTAACATTAATTGAAAAATGATAATCAAAAAAGAAAACGTAAGTGATGCAGACAAATATCAGGTTCCTGCGAAGAGGACTGGATTTGGCATTCAGGGAAAGGAGGTGGGTAGGGATTAGTATTAAAACCAAACCAAAATTGAATGTATGCTACAGAATTCATGTTTACCTGATATTGTATTGGCCAGACACAAGATCAACACTGAGCCCAGAGAAACTTCCATCCAAATCCGCTACCAAATTTTCGGCAAGATCTTCTACTTGTTGCCAAGAATTTATTTTATTCCCTGAAAATACGTCAAAAAAATAATAAAAAAAAATTAACGAAGCAATGCCAAGAGGGTGGAAAATTCAAGATGAACAAGATATGCGTAACAACAAAGAGTACTGATAAAGAAACAGGGACGACAGGTAATGGAGGATTATTTTCTAAGGGGAGAAAATTGAATAAAAATAAAGTATTTTCAGAAAATTTGGGGTAACAAAAAGAGTCCCGAAAAAAAAAGGATGAGAACACCAACCTGAAGCAACTAAATTCCTGAAGTGCTTCCTCATAATATGACGAATGGTAAAACTCAACCAAAATTTAGATTGGGCTTGGGGAAACAGTTCTCTTATCAGAAAGTATACCACTCATTATCAACACGACCTTTAGTCATTCATTAATTGTTTAGGAATTATTTTAAATTATGCGCTTGCATGAAAGGTACTTTTACTCACGATTACATGTTTCTGCAAAAGCTGATAGTAAATATTTCGTTATTGTTTGTCTTTTACTCTTATCAAAGGCTGATTACATGATTCTCGAGATTTATCTATGAAGAATTGGGGAAACTGTGTAAACTTCGATTTTTTTTAGAAAATTGGCAAATTCATTGAACAGATAACAAAAAATAGAACCAGTGATGAGTGAGAGTTTTAAGTGTCAATATCCCCCCCCAAAAAAAAGAAAAAACTACTTCGGAAAAGAAAAACATACAAATTAAAATTACTTACACAAATATAGTTGAATTGAGTGCAAAACATTCAATAAATTGCGGAACAATAAAGTACAAAGATGCATAATTCCATTTGAACAACGATGACTTCCTGTACCTTTTCATTTGCTCTTTGTAACTATTCACTCCACAGAGAGATATATAAAGCAAATTATTATTTTCATCTTCCTTTTGATCTGCTCGCAGAGAAAACTATTAAAGTGAGAATAAAATTCCTGCAACTGCTTTCTTGACTTCATGTGACTCATCAACTCTGTTTTGATGGTTCAAGTGAGTACCTACTACTCAACATTACCTTCAATGGGAAAAATAGTAGATGGCATTCTCCGCGACAAATAGGAAATATATGATGAAATTTTTTGGGATGAAGTTTCATTGTGCCAAATGCTATCAATGTTTTGTAGAATGAAACTTGTTATGAACATGAGAGGAGCTTTGAAAAACTTGTTCAGCAGGAAAGGGAAAAAATAAAAAATGAAACTAGGAAGATGTGAGGACCGATAAATTACCAGTTGATCTGGGCGAATCTTCTGTACTGTTGACAGCTGCGTTTTGACTAGTCCCAGTGTCCAACTTCAAGATTTTAGTCGATTCAAACTCATTGGTCCAGGCTTTTCTTTTCTTCGCTGCACCATCTTCTGTGGGATTGACTGCCCACTGTGGAGCGCTCTCATTCCAAAGAAGATTGCTCTCATCTTGCTCTGACTCCTCCAGGAAGGGCTGATCCATCATTCGAAATACGTAATCCATTAAAGGGGATAGAATTGTGTAGTATTAATCAGAGCTCCAGGCAAGAGGAGTGCCGTAACAGTAGTTGAATTTAACACCATTAATATGCCCCGAGGTAAATTCATTAGGTACGTTCAAACTTAAAAACTTAAGTCCTGCTTAACTCATTAATTTACCGTAGCTAACAATAAAATACTGATATCGCGCACAATACTGACGTAGTGTTCGAGACAGAGATTAGAGAGACCCACGCGGGGGGTCCTTACTGTTCTTTTCAGGACATTCAGAATGAGTAACTTGAAGGAATGCCAAAGCCATCGCGATATAAGTTAGCACCACAAATATGAAATTATGTCTAATGGAATATGGTAAAACAGCATTTAATTTTTGCATAGCCAGAAAAAGTTCTTCTTCTTTCTACAGCAGCATTGTGACAAAACTTTCAAGAGTTGCCTCTTGCTATCTTCTTTTTTTGACCATCCTTCTTGGTCCTGTCAAATTGATGTGCAGCTGGTATATTGACGTGGAACAGACATCGTAGAAGACATTCAAACAGTCCAGAATGGCACTAATATCACAGAAAAAGCATCTAGGTATAACATTTTTTTAATAATTCCATGAGAAAGTTCTTTATATACTTTTTAGAGGAATAAGTATAGTTCATACTTAGGGGGAGGAAAGTGTTGTTAAAAGTTGGCCTTTAACCTTTTATCATTTTAAATTAGAGTAAAAGAATTTAAGAAAACAAGTCTATTTTAATGAAAAATTTAAAAAAGCGGCACTTATGTAACTAGTGAAAAGTAACTTTCAACGCTTTGCCAGCAGAGCCAGGATGATTAACCAGGAAAAATTCATCAAACACGATCTTTTCTTTTCACGCTTTGGAATCCACTTAGAGCGCCGAAGAGAGGTAAGCAAGCGGAGAAGTCCACTATACATTCAGCAGAACTGGAACAAATAAAAGAATACATAAATTAGAAGCCGTTTGTAACCAGAACTTTAAAAATAAATAAAACAAGATTTTAGAACACACCTAGGGACTAACTCAAATCGTTTCAAACAATCACATGAAATATACGGCTAAATGTTAGATACATGAAATTAATTCAAAAATTAATTATTGCATAATTGATTTGATCAATTAAGAGGCAACATAAGAGCATATCACTTCCCTACGTAGATCGTAGGTAGGTGCGTGGTGCGTGCATTGATAGGTGAGCTAACAATAAGATAAGTTTTTTTCTACGTGATGTAAGACAAACTGCCTTTCCACCGTTTTGAAGGGGTTTTTCCCTCAAGATTATCAACATACAAATAATTTAACGGAGGGAATCAACCACCAGACACCTGAAAATGTATGAAAATAAGCAAATAATGCATGATCCCTCATCAAAGCTAGGGATGGTCGAATATTAAGATATATTCGAATATTTTATATTCGAATCATCGGCACCGAGGTAATCGCATCACATTCGAATATTCGCTTCCGAAGTATTCGAAATCGCAAATTCGAATAATTCGAATATTCGAATAATCGCATTCAAAAGTGTCATTTTATCTCTCACGGTTCATAAAAAATCAAAAATCGAAGCAATACCTAATCGAAAATATTCGAATATTCGCAACTATTCGCAATCGCAAGATTCGAATTCTCAAATATTCGCAATAATCGCATTCGAAAAGTTTCGAATATTCGCATTAGAATTCGATATTCGTCCATCCCTACATCAAACTTTCACGGAAGATACGAACGAAGCATTCGATTGTCTGATTTCTACTTAAAACAATCATGGTTTACTCTCTAATGCACCAAAAAAAAGTTTAGTGTTTTCCGTTTTCAAAACCGTTTTATGATTCAACTCAACAAAAATCACTTCCCGGAAAATTTTGCCTCCATAGACAGAGGTCTTCTTCTCTGAGGATTATCATAAATGTAGAAAATTCTGTAAGCAATCTTATCAACGAGGTTCATTTCTTGGTCTAAAGAGAAAATTGAAGATTTTGAAAAGTCGTGATCGAGAAATGTTTTTACTAACTCACAAGTACTTCGTGCTCAGAACTTTTATTGATCTTGACTTTTTCAGGAATCATGGCAAATGACATTGAAAAGTTAGGAAAAAGTCGGAGATTCTTACGTTAAAAACATCTAAAATGCCAGGGAATACTTACATCCCAAGAAACTTGGCACTCTCACCCTGCAAACAGCGATGATCACGATATAGGTCCGATAACGGTCCCGCAAATTGCACTATTTGGTAACGCTGCCACAAATCGAAGATGGTAAATAATTGATAGGATACGGTTTTCATATATTTCTGAGTAAATTCAATGTTCACAGGAAGATAATGTGATTCAAAATAAGGATTCAGATAAAGGTGAAGTGTGAGATTGCCGATTGAGTCGAGCGAATAATTGCTGCATAAATAGTCTCAATTTTATTTATATATTTGGCATTAATTTACTCATTCATTTTCTACATTTAAATTAAATACTGAAACTGCCCTGTCTTCGTGAAACGTCGATTTATAAGGGCAGTGAGTGAGACTTGGTTATCATCAACGGGAAAAGTTTAGGTCTTTTTTAATGGCCCATTGGTCTGGATGCAACTATTCGTGTTCTGGAGGTGTCCGTGTTGCATATACAAAAAATTGCGGGCGCTCTGGTTTTGTTAGGCACAACGCAAGGTTGATCGAGTCAATGAGAGAGGTCGGGCTTGAATCTTTTTACTAAAACTGCAAATTAAGATGTTCATTTCTTCAACGTTTAAGTTGTTACTTCATGATGTAAATTTTACGAGAAAATCAATGGAACCACTTTAAAGATCTCGACGTTTTGTAATAATGGAGTTATGAGTTCTTTTAAGTTTCCAAATTTTGTTCGACTTCCCTCATTGACTCGTTCTATTGTGCAACGCACGGCTGCAATTGTTAGTTCTCAAGAGTTTTCTACGTTGCATTTACAATCGTGTTTACCATAGAATCCTTGAAATTCGAATTAGCCCCGTTGCATGATGGTGCAAAAGGCGAAAATATTATCGGAAGCAAATTGCGGGATTGACATCCGCGATGCCATTGTAAACCTGATTTTGGTGGCAAATTTGCACCATTTGACAACGCTGCCATGATGCAACAGGGCTAATTCGAATTTCGAGGATTTCATGGTAAACACGACTGTAAATGCAACGTAGGAAACTCTTGAGAACTAACAGCTGCAGCCGTACGTTGTGCCTGACGAAACCAGAGCGCCCGCAATTTATTGTGTATGCAACACGGACATCTCGAGAACACGAATAGTTGCATCCAGATCAAGCCATTGAAAAATATGGAACGCCTTAAACTTTTCCTGTGGATGATAACAAAATGTGTCACCCATTGCAGTCATACGTCGTCGTTGCACGAAGACAAGGCAGTTTCAGTGTTCAATAAAATTGATAAAAAGACATCAGGGTGTCTACTGAAGCAGGCTGGCCAAAAATCAGTACTTTTACAGTACTTTTTCAGTGCATTCCCAAGAAATTCAGGACCTTCTTAACATTCCATATTCAGTACTTTTTCAGTACCTCCAATTGTCGAAATTCGAAAAATTTCAAAAATTTGGATTCCTCGCTCAAATTGCGACAAATATATGACAAAAAATGAAAACTTCAGGACCTTCTTGCGGAAGTTCCGCACATTTTCAGTACTTCCGGACCTAACTTAAAAAATCAGTACTATTTCAATACTTTCCGAAAATTCCAAACTTGTAGACACCCTGGAAATGAATAGTAAAAATATGAAGAAAAAAAAAGGCTATTCATGCGGCAATTACTCGCCTGACTTTATCGGCCGGCTTATTACCTCCTCATAAGTCTTCTCATTTAATCAACTTTGAAATAAGAAGATATTGAATTCTATCAATTATTTACTATCTTCGGTATGTGGCAGCGTTGCCAAATAGTGCAATTTACAACCGCTACAGACCGTTTCCGGCAACGACGAACAGAATCACGACCTAGCGCGTTTATCTCTGTTCGCGGGTTGACAAGTTTACTTGGATTTACAAATTTCCTGTCTTCGCAGATATTTTAAACATAAAAATCCCCGACTTTTCCCATTTTTTCCAGCGTTTTTTTTTACCTAGATTTTGTTGATAATGGACCACTAGATAAGGTACGAATTTCAGCATTCTGATACATGTTTCTTAACCGAAAGTTCACGTAGAACACGATGCGCACAACGAAAATTACCGAAATTAACTCCTTACGAAGATATTTAATGATTCTCGATGCGTGAATTCAAATCACCCGCTCATGAAAACTCAATGCTCTACGTGATTCACATCGCGCGCTAAACGTTATCATGACAGTTTTTGCGATATAAAAATCTGGCAACCTCGATCTTGACGCTTTGGCTCAGCTATAGCAAATTGCTTCTAGTTTGAACAACACATGGTAGGAAATGAACATTGCTCGATTGAGAAGCTTGCTGAAACCGTTGTAGTGCGCGATTTGACTCACGTAGGGCTTTGAGTTTCTTGTGAGCGGGCAGTTCAAATTCCTCGTAACCAATGTGAAATAAAAGCGTTAATATCTTCGATAGGAGTTGGTTTCAGTAATTTTCGTTGTGTGAATAGTTTTCTGCGTGAAATTCTGGTTAAGAAACATGTATCAGATTGCTTAAATTCGTACCTTGTCTAGTGGTCCATTCTAATCACAACAAACCATTCAGAGCGCGTGGTGTCGTGAGAGTGAAAAATTGCAATGTTTTGGCGGGAGGAAAACATTTTCGCAGCGAAGTTCCCTAACTTTTCTCGCTTTATCGTGGTTGTAGGTAATTTCTAATTTTATCGTTTTTCGGTGATAAAAGAGACAGAATCTTTAATTAGTCGAGTTAAGAGAGGAACTAAACACGCAATTTGGCTTGGGGCTCAGCGCAGAGAGGAATGATGACGAGGACTTGTGATGAAAAGGACAAACCCTTTGGCATGGCGGTCGACATGTAACACATATTAGCGCCTACAAGACTGCATGAATACTTCACCCATTGCGTCAAACACAGTACGGTCAGGAGCGGTTGGCGTGAAACGCGTAGCGCCTACAAGACTGCAGGAATACTTCACGCATTGCGCCAAACACAGTACGATCAGCCCGGCGCAGCGGCGGAAGTTAAAATTATTAAACCACATTTATGTTTCTTCTTTCAATTTTTTGGTTCATTTATTATAATAAATGGAGGATCTTGTTCACACACAGATATGTTTACGGAACTTAACTTTCGCGCAAAGTTCCGAGAACTTTTACTGGTAAAGTTGACAGGGCTTTCGCAAAAAATGTATTCAACACGAGTCGGTAAACGCGTTTTATGCACCCCTCCCCCTCCGGCACGTTCACTTGATGGTTTTTATTGATGTTTCAAAACGAATGAGAAGGGGGCGGCAAAATACAGGCTGCCCATGGGCGGCAGGTAGGTAAATCCGGCCCTGAATAACATTAAGCTTCGGTTAATATGGAAGGTAAAGTAACCTGAGCTTTCGGTTATACATGCGGTTTCCTTAGTTTCTTATTGTTTTCTAGGCTAATATAAACATAAATTAAGTGCGATTTTGATCCAAGATTTGTGTTTCCCTTCCACTGTTAACCAAAAGTAACAAAAAAGCACAAATATTTCTCTCTGTGTGTAAGGATGAGCTTTTTGAAGAGCGACTAAGGATTCTTTGTCGCCGATTTCTGGCGAACATTGCGAGTCCAGACTCCAGTGACGTGGCATACTTTATGATATATCGATTGATCTACCGTATAAACCTATGGAAAAGGATTGATAAACAGAATGTTTGCAACGGACACTTTCATAATCGATTCTTTACTACGGCTTCAAATGCGGAAATATCGAAAATCGATCATTGATGCCCCGTCATTGTATGAGTCCACAACCTGACCGTTCGTAGAACCTGACTAAAAGTCGAAAACCTCGTATTTTGCGTCAATATTTGCAAAAGGCCGATAGACCTGAGATAAAAGAGATTCCCCCTTTCCAAGCCGGGAATTTGGTAAAAGAGATAGGCGACCTAGTAAATGTTGGATTGTTGGGCAACCGACAGTGCGTTTACAACGGAAATCAACTTGCGTGCGAAGCCCGTGTCAAATCACGTAAGCTGTAAGTTTACAAAAAATGGACTACGTTTTGCAATAGCAGTGTGTCTACTAAAACAGGCTGGCCAAAAATCAATACTTTTAGTACTTATCGTGCTTATAGTACTTATCAGGACTTTTTCAGTACATTCCCATGAACTTAAAAGCCAACAGAAAAATTCAGTACTTTTTAAGGTACCTTTGATGCCTTTAATTGACGAAATTCGAAAAATTTCAAAACTTTGAATTTTTCGCTCAAATCGCGACAAGAATGACAAAAAAATGGAACAAATTCCGGGCCTTTTTGCGGAATTCCCGCACTCTTTCACTACTTTCTTTCTTTCTACATGGAAACTTACTAGAGCCCGTTTTAGATAATTTTGCCTCTTTTGCTGAATACGCGGGGTATAGGGAATTCCTAATTCCACGTATACAACGAAAAGGGCAAAGTTATCTGAAAACGTCATTTCCGGAAAATTTCGTTTATTTGTTGTGTAGAGAATATTCTGCGCAAATTGCAAGCAATGATGTTGGTTTGGTTTCTTTTTAAAAAATAAAATAGGAGCGAAGATTTTGAAACACCGCTACCGAGATACGCATTTCTGTAGTTCCACCTTCAATATGTTGTTTCTGAATCAAACCAGAGATAGCAGTTCCTTATTACAAAAGTTTAAATATTGCTTCGGGAAAAAGAACTATATGCTTCGCAAATGCTATTTTTGGCTAAATTTAGAAACAAAATATGAGCTATCAGTTCACCAATGCAGATACGTGCTTCTATGGATGAGCTTTTCTCATGAAGTGCGCAGATGCATGACGCTAGAACTTCCAATTCGTATTGTGAGCTCTCAATAAATTAGACTTGATTTTGCTGTAAAGAGTCACTATTTCTGGCTCGCGGTTTAAACACCATATGTGCCGTTAATATCCACGTGCAAATAGGTGCGTTTATAGATGAGCCAGAAATAGAAATTCCTCTTCGCAAAACAAAGGTCCAAATGGCGGTCGGATTAAAACAAAATTTATCGCGCGTTGATTTCAGTCTGAAACGAGCACAAACATAATTTCTTTGCATCACCTTTCAGATTTTTCACAAAATGAGCGTAATTACATGACTCAGTGCGAAAGACGCAAGTGATTGAAACGCATCTTTTTTTCTGTACACGATTTTTTATTTTTTATTTTATTCGAAGAAAACCTCTTTCTCATTCTGAGGAGAGAAAGCACGGGAATTCATAATTGGAGCTACTTGGCTTTTCCAGGTTTCTTAAACGCTATTGTAAAAATTACCAGACTTTCCGGTGCTATGGGATGTAAAGTAATAATTGTTTGATTTTTCAATCCGCATTGGCGGATCCTGCAAATTGGTGACATTGTTTTTCTTCATTCAATCCCATAGAGATGTATCGATTCTCAGAGGGGCCAGGTGCTCCGACAAGAATCGATTATTTAACATAGGTTTAAATGGAGGAAATCCGGTGTTACCAAATTGCTGGATCCGGGTCTGCAATCCGACAATGAGAAAATCTTAAACTATGAGTAAGTGCGAGAAGACTAATTAATTCTAGGCGTTTTGTTGTCTTTGGAGTCTACTATAAATGATTCCACGTGATTTTGTTGTGGAATTTCATTGTATGAAATTTAATGAAATTTCTCATCTCATTGTCAATGCATGGTGACGTCTGAGACTTTCGGTGGGTCGAATTCCTAATTGAGCATAATCGTAATGCTGAGCATTCAAACCGAAGTGCCAAAGTAGCCCTTTCCGACTATTTTCTCATTTTATGCTTCGGATGTCATTCTTAAGCTTGAAAATGAACATGAAGTTCAGTAGAACATGATTTCAACAAATCAAAACGACACTTACAATAGCTTTGATGGAGAACATACGTCCAAAGAGGAAAAAATCATTCAACGTGGCGTTTTTCTCTTTCAATTCTCGTTTCGTCGAACCTGTGCCCGGGCGCATGAGAAAATTTTTTCGGCGCCTCGCGTAATATTTCAACCGAGGATCGAAAAGGTTACATCTAAGTGGTATTTAAAAACGCGAAATTACGACAGACACCGCTAGGTACTTCAGTTTTACCCGTAAAACCAACTAGTGCCCACAGCAAAAAGATGGAAGCACGGGGTAGTATTAGTGGTAATATTCGTTTATTTTAAAGCGGTGCCTTAGCAACTATTGACAAAAGAAAAAAGAACATTAGACACACACGAGAGTTCATGACATTTTTAAAATTCTAAAGTCCCTTGTTTTCCTTCTTTTATTTAAGTTTTTCCTTTACTTGCATGTAAAAAGAAGCCAGCAGAAATTAGCATTAAATAAAAACCATTCCTGATAAAGCTGAGACTTAAACTTTGTACCATTCTCACCGTAAAGTGTCTTTCCCGCTTCATTGTCGCTTTAACTATTAATTTCTATAATTTAGATAAAATATATATTATTTCTATAATTTCTATACTTTATTACATTTAGAGATCTTTCCTGTGAAGTCCAACGGCTTTTGAGCACACTGGAAAAAAAAACACATTGGATCTAGAGTCCAGACTCTTAAAAACATCGACAAGAAAAAATACTCTTGATTCGATCAGAATTTTGCTTAAATCTAGAACCAAGCCTCTTAATTTGAGCGGATTTCCTTTTGATTTAAGCAAAAATCTGATCGAATCAAGAGTATTTGTTCTTGTCAATGTTTGAAGAGTCTGGACTCTAGATACAATGTGTTTTTTTTTTTCTCCAGTGTATGTGTTTTCTATTAAATTAAATTCCCAGCGATAGCTCGATTTTTCTTATTTCCCCGGTGAAAAATGCGTAGAAAGGAGTGAAAGTTCCTTGTTTGAAAGATCTGCTGTGAAGCGGAAATAGATAAGGATTCAAGACTCAAAAACTGATTTATCAATACTGATTTATGGGATTTCAACAGATAATAATCAAAATTTACCTCTTTCCTCTTTTTTTTAAAAAAACAAAAAAAAAAAAAAAATTACGAATCATTATTTCTCTCAATGCTTTGTGTTACCTTTTTCTTTCAAAACTCGAGGCTCATTTTCCCCCTCAATACATCTGCTGCCTTTGACATGGCTTCCAACAAAACTTTTTTTCGAGCTGGGTGGAGAGGGGGGAGGCGACTCGTATCTCCTACCTTGCTCCCCTCCCCCCTTCCTCTGGGAACATGCGCCATTGAAAGTCAAAAAACGAGGTGACGATTTCCCCAAGGCACGCCCCTTCTCCATACTCTCCGCAAATAAAATAAGAATACAAGAGAGATTTCTTTCTACTCGAGCGCCTAAAAAAGACTACTCGAAAAAATGCTGGCTGTGAAAATGGCAGAAAAAATTCGTCTGGGTGTGACGTCATTAGTGACGTCCACGGTCCTAGCGAATGAGAACTGACGAAGTACCGTGCCTCATCGAGTGGATGTGTAGCGTTGTTTTGCCGCGAAATGTAGTCGGGATCTAAAGGACGTTATTTTCGAAGGTTGTCATCCCCCGATTAAATATTAATAATTGGGAAACGTTGAGAATACTTTTCCTTGAACTTTTATGATATCCCAGGTTGAATTGTAAATAAAATCCTCTGACAAATTGGGAGAAAAATACTCACAAGTTTCCTTAAAATTGTATACTTCATCAAAATAAATTTAGCCACGTCCATACTGCCTTGCTATGGAGGAACGCCGCATGAACATTCGAAAGTTGCCAAATTTTCCTGGCTTATTCTTCAGGAAAGTTCTGCATATTTTTCCTTGAAATTGTCATACATTTCAGATGAAATTGCGAACAAAATATTCTGAAAAATGTGAAGGAAAATATTCACACTTTCCCAGCAAATCCGTTTTTCATTGAAGGAAATTTGGCAACGTCTGAAGGCGCATACGACGTTCTTCCTTTGCACGGCAGTGTTTAAAAATCGGACGAAATAAATCGATTTTTCCACGGACCATTGCGCGTAAACCGAGCGCGTCGATTTTCTATTTACTTTTTTCAACTGAGAATGAATGCAAAACTATTTACTCACTCAGTCCGAACAAAGAACGGGGTTCCGTCGATTTGAAACGTCAGTAGACACACACACACACTCACACACACAAAACAAGTGCGAGTTCTATTCCACGCGCAAGCGAAAAGGGGGTCCGTATTCCAAGAAAACGAGGTCAACGGTCGCTTTGGGCGGGACCAAATTCTAAAAACTAGAGCGAAAAGGGAACCAAAAAGCACAACCGATACAGAACGTCGCTTCCCCGGCGTGCACTCGTATCATCACTAAAATTCCATTCCTTCATTTTGGCGCGACGGATTTCCGAGGACACAGCACATGACGACACATCGACACCGGCGGCGGGATTTTCGAACGGCGGACCCCGGACCGGTACCGAGGACCGGAAAACCCGGGGGGCGGACCGGAAGCTCCGGGCGGAGGGGCCGGCGAAAACGGGAAAGCTCCGGACGGGACGGGAGCCGCTCGAGACTGATCCCGCGAAAAGCTCGGCCGCCCACGATCGTGGAGATGACCGGAGCGTAAACAAATCCAACTGGTCGGGGGCTTCGCGAACCAGCGCAGACTTTGTAAACGGCTGGCCTCTCCTCATTATAGAGGTCAATTGAAATCCATTGAATGACTTTGTCGCGTACTCCTTGCCCAAGGACACGACTTATTTACCCGGGCAATTTAATTGAAAACTGCTAAATAACGGACGACATGCCAAGTGACCGATGAGCAATTGGCGACGAGATGCAGGCCGACCAACATGCTCATCAGATCTCCACTCGGGGAGACACTAGGAAAGTGTCAAAATACNTAACTCCGCCTCTTTTTCTCAACGGAGACTTTTGCATCGTGCAAGAATCTTCCGATGCGCCTGAGAAACATACACCCCCCCCCCTCCTTCGACTGAAAATACAGCAAGTTCATTGTCGTGTTGCGAAATTCGCCGTTTCTTAGACAAAGGAACGTATCTCCACTACAAAGACGCAGAATCTGACCGCTCGATCAGCTCAATGCGTCAGGCATTCGAGATAACAAACTTCTTGATATAAAATTTTGTAGGGGACAGTCACAATACAATTTCGCGTACTCACTTTCGGTATTTAACAATTTGGGGCGCGTTTCGGGGTCTAGATGACCCCATCATCAGCCGGCAGTTATTGAATTGTTAAATAACGCAAGGGAGTACGCGAAATTTTATCATTTTTTTACAAACTTCTTGATACAAATATTTCGACTCTTAAGTAGCTCAAATTGCATAATCGCCGAGATGAAGGCGTTATTAGGTTTTCGCTTCTAATTTCAAACTCTTAGGTTGAAAAGCTGACTCTCCTCTTTTTGTTGATGCACATGCCAGATGTACTCCTTTAGATTAGGAAAGCTGTAAGGGCAGAACTTGACAAAATCTCGAACCATCTCACAGATGGAACAAGATTGCCCCCAGGAGAAGTCAAATTTGGACAGACAGAGTGAAGAGGGGGAGATGCTGCGCCCACTGAATTTTCTGACTGGTGCATGTCCCTCCGTTCGAGAGATGAACAAAAAGACAAGACTTAAAAAGGTCAAATAAAATTTTATTGAGTACAAAATATTTACAAAACTTTACACGCTAGCTCGGACATTCCAATTGCTTACAGTCTTCTTTCATAACACCTTTAAACACTTCATAATGATGGTTGAGCGCTCGGACTAGATGGATTTTCGTCATGGTACCAAGGGCACCCCTTTCGCTTGGGGCGCCATAGAACACCCTTCTAACTCTACTATGAACAAGGGCCATCGAACACATAACACAAGGCTCTCTAGTAAGGTAGGCGTCATAGCCAGTGCATAGATAGGGGCCTTTGGGCGCCTCACCACCGGAACTCGGTGAAGCTTCCAGATCGTCTGAGATTTTCCGTTTCTTGTGCACGAATTCCGATGGGGCGTCTTCCGAGGGCGTCGGGGGTAGAAAATAATCACCGGGGTTGACAGGCCAAGCGCCACCCCCTTGCGACCTCGCAACGAGGTCGACAACCACCATTGCCGCATGCTGAACCGGATTCCGGTTCCTCGAATCTCCGCAAACGGCCACGATTTCCTTCTTAGCGGGATCGACTATCACAGCACCGACGCGGGAACCACCGTCGCCAACGCTTTTAGCGGCATCTAGCGCCGTACTCATGAACCTCTCGTGTGCGGCGTTCTCGGCCGGCGAAAAATATTCGCCGAGGATCATCTTTTCCAGCGCCTTGTTCTCGTGGAAGTTGCACGGCCATTTTTGGTTCGCCGCCAGGAACTGGGATCGGACTAGGGGCTGGCGGGACGCGACCGGGAGTTTCGTGAAACTGAGGGACAGCCCTGAAAAATCCAGGCCGCTTCCCGAGATGAGGTCTGTCAGCTCGCTGGGAGATCGCTCGGAGACGGGGCTGATCAGGATCTGGGAGCCTTTCATCCTCTTCAAATGTCGGAGGTTTTGGATCGGTAGCACTTTGTTCAAGTTCTGGACTAACTTGCTCGTCTGTTTCCTGTCCGTGATTTCGGCTACGAATACGTCGATTTCAGGGATGGGCTCTTTCAGGTCGTCGGACAGGACCGGCTCGGCGCTCCAGCTGAATTTCCGTTCCGATCTAGTAGTTTCTTCTTGTTTCCTCATTTTGCCGACCTAGAAAAAGAGAAGAGATACTTGATACATATTGGAAAAATGGCAAGGTTTCAAGACAAGGTTTTTGAGCAGAAAAACCTCTTTAGCAGGCTCTGAATAGTTGGACTACATTTTGCAATAGACCACTAGACAAGGTACGAATTTCAGCATTCTGATACATGCATCTTAACCAAAATTTCACGTAGAACACGATGCGCACAACGAAAATTACCGAAATCAACCCCTTACGAAGATATTCAATAATTGCGTGAAAAATTGCGAATAATGCGTGAATGCAAACCACCCGCTCGTATTACTCTGATTTTCAAGTTCAGTTTTGGTTCTTTATTTTCCTGTTAAATTTTTTGTTTCGTTCAGATTGTAATTTTCTCTACGTGATTTATCTCTCTACGCGCGCTAAACGTTATCATAACAGTCTCTGCGGTATAAAAATCGGGCGACCTCAAACTTGACGCTTTGGCTCAGCAATAGCAAATTGCTAATATATATTTGCTTTAGAACAACACATGGTGGGAAATGAACATTGCTCGATTGAGAAGCTTGCTGAAACCGATGTAGTGCGCGATTTGACTCACGTAGAGCTTTGAGTTTCTTGTGAGTGTGACTAATATGAATTAAAAACGTAAACATCTTCGTTAGGAGTTGGTTTCAGTCATTTTCGTTGCGCGAATCGTGTTTTGCGTGAAATTTTGGCAGGGAAACATGTTTCAGAATCCTTTAATTCGTACTTTGTCTAGTGGTCCATTTGGGAATACAATTTCTAGCCCATCCAGAAAAACCACTCGTTAGCATAGGGCACGAAAAGTGGCGGAGACTGGCTCGCGGGATGGATTACGGGTTGAAACGCCCAATCTTAAACAAGAGATAAACCACTGACCTGACTTCGGCCACTTTTCGTGTCGTGAACTATAGTCACGGATGTATTCTTGGGATTACTCAATTACGTTATTACGTATTTACTCAATACGTATTTACTCAATACGTTATTTTCTTCATATGACACGAATTGTGCACTGGAAAAAAAAAACACATTGTATCTAGAGTCCAGACTCCTGAAAACATTGACAAGAAAAAATACTCTTGATTCAATCGGATTTTTGCTTGAATCAAAACGAAATCCGCTTAAATTAAGAGGCTTGATTCTTGATTTTAGCTAGATTCTGATTGAATCAAGAGTACTTTTTCTTGTCGATGTTTTTAAGAGTCTGGACTCTAGATCTAATGTGTTTTGTTCCAGTGTATATGGCGTGTGCCTTCGTGGAGAAATATTAGTACCAAAAAAAAAACGGCAAAATCAGGTTATGATGATTCAGAGAAACCAAGTGTATTCCGGTCGAGAATTTTGTTAACTTTTTCAGAGGATTAAACATAAAATCGAAAATCCCTGCTTAAAGCGATAACATTGGTCACAGTCGTGATACTCGAATTAGTTGGTAAGACTATTCTCGATGGAAATACATTGTAAATAATATATTCCAAGTTGAGCATCCTGATCGTTTATCATGTGTTTTTATAAAAGTATTCCATACTGATTGGTCAAGCACGCGATTGCAATATTTAATCCACGTGCTTCATCTACAAATAGATGAAGTCTAAGATATTCAGCTACCAGATAAAGCGTGCAATTTGATTCGGCTTATCCGCGGTATCGCGGTTGAAGTAGGAAATCTCTAGAGCAGGAGGTATTGTAGTAGTGCACGCAGCAGTGGGCTGATTGTTGAAATTATAGACAAAGCGATAGACAAAGAAGACAAAGGGAAAATGTAGCGATTCTATTGGTTGAGCGGTTGGCTGTTGTAGACTATGGGGGAAAATGATGGACTAACTTTGAGGTCTATCGTGGCTTGCCGTTCGTTCGGCTACTGCTCATCTTCCAACTTTCCAACAATAGGATCGCTTCATTTTCTTCTTGTTTCGTTATCACAGCTTTGTCCATCAACTCAAGGTTGGAAAAACTGACATTTGCGGTTTTGGCACGACCCGATTTATTTTGAAAAGAAAAAAACGCCACACTTTGCGTCGCGACAGTCCATAAAAATGGATTAATTTATGTGTGGGCAGTTGATATACTTTTCAGTCTTAAAAGCTCAGGCAATTCCTGGTACTGTAATACCCCGGTATCCGCGGATTCGCTTAGCCGCGATCGAATTTTTGCGTCATTACCCCGCTATTCGCGACTCCGTGACTCGCTTATCGGCGATCGGGGGAGAGAATCTTGGCAACCATGAATGAAATGACTAGTATCGCCACCAGTGGCGATTTTGCAAGTGGGCAACCCGATGTTCTTTCATTTAAATGTATGTAAAACAATCGATTCTTGGTGAGACGGCTTCCCTCGCCTAAAATCGATATTTTTAATAGATTCGAATGGAGGAAAACCAATGTTGCCAACTTGCACGACCGCCAGTCCCGAAGAAAGCTGAGCGCGAGGTTACTTGGAGGATGAAAAGTTCACTCCAATTGAGGTAGTTATGCAACAGGCAGAGCTTCAATTGATTGCTTGTATGTACGCATGGCTGACCCATGCCATTGCTCGTCTTCGTTGGCGAATGCATGTGAATCGAGAAGGCGCATGAATCATGATGGACTGGAGCTGTGCGACGCGAATTTTAAAGTGAAACTCCGTAAGCTGTCGTTGCCATCATTATTGCTACGCCTGGAAAAGTGATTACATAACACTGGGCAGAAGAATCCGGCCCGGAATTTTCAGTTTTAGAGCCCCCAAATAAAGTGGTAGCCCTCTCAATGTATTTGCTCCCTATCTTTGCATTGAGAGTTTGTCTTGATGTACAGGTGAACTCTCAGGATAGCGTGGGATATCCCCTCCATTTTGGCCTCAACTTGAGAGCTTTTTTTGAGCTTGAAAGTTGATTTCAGAGAAAACCAGTGGCACCATCGTGTTTCTCGCGAACTTTTACATGAGAATCAACAGTCAAATCGCAAATTCCTCACACATGAGACATCTGCATCCTGGGTTTCAATCGGTTTATCTTCTCGAACACGAGGGTTAAATGTCAACGTTTAAAAATTGTATTATCACAAGGAAATTTCTGAGCATTTCTGACCAAGAATTTTACTGCTTACATTTTCTAAAGACGCAAAAATCAGACAAATGTTAAACAGTACTCGCAGAGATATCCTCGTAAACAATTGAGTTACTTCAGTGAATTGTGAGAATTATAAACATAGTTCGTCTGAGAAACGCTAAAGTTGCAAACGTCAATGAAGGTGTGTTCTGGTATTCTTTGAAAAATGTGAGAATCTTGATGCATGCAGCTCGACTCAAATGTGCACTATAATCTCGATGTGATAATGTATTATGACGGAGTAATAAATTGTGAAGATTTAAAACCAATAAAGAAATATTATTAAACACCGTTACTCGGATACTTTAAGAAAAACGATTTTTAAAACATACGAATTTACGATGGAATGCAAAAAAAATTCACGTCATCATTTTGCAGCGCTATGATCCTGTCCCTTCGGCGGTTGATGAGAGAAAACTAATTACTGCTCACAACTCGTGATTTTCCTTCTCAGTGGCGAGGCGTGAATGATCTATTTTCGATAATTTCCCATTCAAGGCTGTGGTAAAGAATCGATTATTAAGGTGTTCTTTGCGCACATCCTGTTAATCGATCCATGTCCATAGCTTTAAAAGGTAGATCAATCGATATATCACAAAGCACGCCACATCACTGCTTCACACTATCACAATCTCTTTAAAAAAACTCACGTCAAGAAAGTTATGGTTGGTGTTCTGCTTCTGAGTCAAAAGTAAAATGGACGTATTTCTGCCCAACGGAACTATGTGCATTAAAACATGAGCCCTGACACCCATAATAATATATGCATAACATGGCTCAATTGGCTCACGTCATAAAGTACATAGTTTGGTACGTTTGGTAGAAATACATCCGAATATACGAGGACATTTTGAAACAGAGCAATGGAAAGATGCATATTTCTGATATCAACGTCACGTTGTTTGTCAGAACAGTACTACCGCTCTAGGTGCTTCAATTTTTTTTTCCTTTCAGCAGCCGGTAAAAAGTCTAGAAATGGAAGAACATTCATCGAACAAAAAATCCTCAGGAGCTCGTTCAAAAGCTGATGAGTGGGGCTGGAGGTGTTTACAGCTGAAATTTGCCAAGTAGCGCACGTTTAAGAACATATTAAGAGGCAATATTTGTACTTCATGCATATGAAGCGTCTAGGACCAAAACCGGCTAAACATTGTGCGATCATTTGTACTGTAATATTGGAAGAACAAGAAAGCATCCATGTTCATGTTTCCTTGTGAATTTTCTGTTTTCAAGCGCGAAAATTTAGGATAATGTAAAAACAGCTAGACACATTGGTTGCTCCTCACAAAAAATTAATATGATTGCACAATTTTTAGACGGGGCAATGGAGATTGCCGCTTTCCGTTCTAGACGCCTCATACGTGAATGACCTGGAGCTTTCACAGGAAATTTTACTTGACGGGGTGACTTTATGGAATAAATACTACAGTAGAGTCTCAAATATCTGCGATCCAACTTAAACACAATTTTTTATCTGGAGCTTCTTTTAAATCTCAAAAACGTTAAGTTTTACCGCGCGAACTTCAACTTGTTTCCAGAAATGATGTTTACTAAAATGACTTTTTCTGAAAGATAAAACGTATTCATTTTTAACGTATTCATTTTTAACGTATTCATTTTTAACTAGTCCTGTTAACGCTCCTTCCTAAATGCGTACATCGTTGGCGGTGATTTGATATATATTCGCTTCTATTTGATGTTATCAAAAGAACACGACCTACTTTTAATGTTTGGCAATTTCACAGAATATTTCTCGCAAAAAAAAGAGAAATCAGAAAAGTTTCCGAGCAATGAATTTGAGTTCTTTCCTATTTAAAAAATAAATTAGGGCAGAGTGTGCGACGTCGCAAACCGAGATTTGCGTTTTTGCTGTTTCACCGTCAGTAGATTTTTTTATCCATGTCTGAGGCTGCAGTCTCTACTTCTCTCCCCTTTCGACGTTTCTTTCTACGGGAGCGATGATTAAGGGACACGATTTTTAACATCCCTTTATTTGATAAAACACTGGCTAAAAAATACCTATAACTGCATGAAAATTCGACCCTCTTTAAAACCAAAAAATACCACGCCTACTGCGATGCTATTATTCTAGACGAATTCTGTGACTATATTTCTATCGCTTTTTCGACAAGTGCCATATAACTCCTAGATTCCAGCGTTGAAAGTATTTCTTACTATGTCGGGCAGATAAGATAACACGTAGCCCTATCTGTGCCATGTAATATTTCAATTTTCGATGTCTTGTCGTACTGACGCATACGTTTCGATAATCAGTCCACTGGAGACAGAATTTGGAACTGCGTGATATTAGCATGATGAGGCATTTAAAATATTGTTTTGATTTTAACAAAGCAGACCAGTTACTATCCTAACCAAGAAAATTGATTTGGCACACGAACAACGATTCATATTCCGATGCAACACCAAATTATTGGTGGAAAACACTTACTTCCTGTGAATAAAGCACCAACTGCTCGGTTAAAAATGTCCGTGTTTGGTTTTACTCTGTGTTACACTGGAAAAAAACACATTGGATCTAGAGTCCAGACTCTTGAAAACATTGACAAGAAAAAGGACTCTTGATTCAATCAGATTTAAGCATAAATCAAAAGGAAATCCGCTCAAATTAAGAAGCTTGGTTCTTGATTTAAGCTTGAATCTGATTGAATCAAGAGTATTTTTTCTTGTCGATGTTTTTAAGAGTCTGCACTCTAGATCCAATGTGTTGTTTTTTCTCCCAGTGTTTTTTTTTTTTTTTTGTGTAAGAAAAACCCAAAGCACTTGGTTGCTCAACCAACCAAAATCATGTCAAATCAACCGAAACCGTAGGTCACTTGGAGACATCGGACCATGGAGAAAATGTCCTGCCGAACTTAGGTAATTTTGTTTTCCTCCCCTTACTCAAGGGTTGCGACTTGCAAGTGGCTAGCGCATTGGATTACCATCGATGTGAACCTGAATCGGTCCTGGCGGCTGGCAACGAATTTTCAACGAGGTCGCAGATTTTCGAGACAAAGATTTGATCACCTCAACCCAAAGATTTGGTCGATTTGACACAACGAAAACTAACACAAAACAAATCAGCCAAAAACTTATGTTACTTCGTGTTTTACTTCCCATAATAACACAAGATTTTGGTTACTTTTTCGTACTGCGTGAGAAACCTGGAGCAACCCCTAATTCGTTTTTCGGGGTATTTCCTGACTTTTCCGTAACTTTTCACGATCAAGTAAAATTAACTCACAGTTCCAGGTTTTCCCTGAATTTTCAGAAACTCATCCCCGACTGACGTTCGTAACCAAACTCAACACATCGACCGGCGCGGCGCACAGTGGATCGAGTCAATTAGAGAGGTCGAACATGAAATTTTTCACTAAAACTGCACTTTTTTATGTCTATTTCGTCCCATTTTAAACTTTAAAGGGTGCTTCTTCGAGAAAATTTCACGAGAAAACCATTGGAGGCACTTTCAGAACTTCAAAGTCTTGTATAAACAGAGTTACAAGCGTTTAAATTTACCAAATTTAGTCCGACTTCTGCTATTGACTCGATCCATTGTGCGGCGCTGCCACTGAGGCTACGGTTCCACAACGAGTGTGCAACGGGAAGTTGGCCGCGCGACCGTGTGCAATGATTTAAAAACCGGACCGTAGCCACTGAGAAGAGAATTCGTGTAGCCACCATCTGTGGCAGCTTTTAAAATCATTGCACCCGGTCGCGCGGCTAACTTCGCGTCGCGTGCTGCTTGTACTCGTTTGCGCGCCGTGCGAGCAACTTGGTCGCTGGCTGCTTGTGGAAGCGCGGCTTCAACGAACTCGCCGCGAACTTGGATCACGCGTAAATGCGAGTGCATCACCTATCTCCACTGTCTTTATCCCGTGCACGCGGCCGGGTGTATGTTACGTATGAGTTACGGTGTGTGTATCGGGGGTGGTGGGGCGCGCGGGTGCGTTAATTTGGAGACAGACCGGGCCGATTACGCAAGGCGGCGGCGTCAGACTCGACTTAAGTTTTAACATTGTACCGACTGCATCAAGTTCGGTGGTGCGACGTTCAAGGATGCCGATTATGGTCATTAGCATAACCTCGATCATCGCTCCTCTGACGTACGGGCGAACGTCAATTTTTACGTGAGCCTTGAGCTCCGTATAAAACTATGCTTTCCGCGGATCACGCTGCAGCGGGGATACGCCCTTACGTCAGAGGAGCGACGCAATCTGGCGTCAGGTCTGGCGCATTCTGACGTGAGTTCTTCCGAACGCCAAGGATCTAGATAGGTGAAAATATCGCGTGAAATAAAGCCATCAAAGTATTGAGATTTTTGCTGACTTTCAATACTTTGACCGGAGACGTTCATTTTTATCAATAAAAAAAAAATTTTAGGGGCCGCAGCTCCTACTGGGGGATGGGCGTAGCTAAAGGGACGGGGAGGGCCTGTTCCCTCTCCCGAAAATTGAAAAAGTATCATCCACCGCAGCCCCCTCCCCCTAGTAATTCCGTAAGGAGGGGTAAAACTATCGTCAACGATATATCTTTTTAACAATTCTACAGTATTCTGTGCTGAAGACTTAAAAAAGCGTAGTAATTAAGCATAAATTCATGAAAAAATTCAATCACGAAATCCTTAAAATGCGTCCAAATTTCAACGATTTTCCGAAGACTGTTCGAACCCCCTCTTGATAGAAGAGTCCGTGTCTTCCCCACACGGAGAAAAAAACTTCGTGCGTGGGACCCAAAGTTAAGGTCATATGGATCTCTGAAGTTTCCGGATCACGTATCTAAAAACGTACGGTCCAACTGCGAAAGTTGGGGTCACACATCTGAAGTACTCCGATACATACCGAAGTGCCTCGATGTCTGACCCGAAGTTCGGCAGCTCGACCTCAAGTTTCCGGATGCGTGATCAGAAAACTTCAGAGATCCATATGACCTCAACTTCGGGTCCCATGCACAAAGTTTTTTTCTCCGTGAAGGGCGGAATAAACATCAAAATTTGCGGTTTTAGTCAAAAATTTCATGTCCGACCTCTCTAATTTACTCGATACTTTGTAGGACGGCCCGAGAGACCGAAAGGACCCC